TTGGCCTGTTCTGAAAATATGAACTTCCTAATTTGGATTTTGCTAACTTTTACATTCTCACTTTATCATATTATCTACTTTTCATTCTCTACTTTTTGTGCACTCATACTATTTGTTCTCCTTTAGAGTTTATAATTTCAAAATAACACCTATTCCTCTTATTTTAACTCATGCCACCCAATTATATCTTACATTTTTAAACGGACAGAATGTTATTTTATCATGAGATTTGGTGCAAGTATCACCATATATGTACAATCTTTCCAAGATAAGATTTTCTGATTACACAAATAAGAATTTTTCATGTGTGTGAGAACAAACAATATTATGGGCTGTATGAAGGTGGCTGAAGCTAAGGTTGTATCACTTGTATGTATGAAGGCCAGTTGTACCAAAAGTAATTTTCTTAAAAAGGCACTGAAAAGTAAAAGTGGGAATCTCAAATTATGGACATTGTTTTTAGAGGGGGTTTGGCGCATGATTAATTATAACACAGGGGGGTTTGACGCATTTTTTAAATCACATGGGGCTAATGCCCCGAATTTTTATTTCACGGGGGAGTTTGGTGCATTAAACCCAACTTAGTGGATAACTGGACGCATATATGCAGGAGCACATAGATGGCATCAGAGCTGCATACAGTAAAGATTTTACCAGTGAAGATCCTCTAAAGCGGCAAGTAGCTGTTGCCACCTACCTCATTGACAAACTAGCTCTCAGGGCAGGCAATGAGAAGGACGATGAAGAAGCTGCTGACACGGTTGGTTGCTGCACATTGAAAGTAGGGAATGTAGAACCAGTTCCTCCAAACACACTAAAATTTGACTTCCTCGGTAAAGACTCCATCAGGTACCAGAGAGACGTCCAAGTGGAAAAAGCGGCCTTCAAAGCAATTAAAAAGTTCCGAAATGGGAAGCGTGAAGACGAAGACCTTTTCGAGCTGCTTGATACAAATAAACTGAACGCTCATTTGAAATCACTCCTGCCTGGCCTTACTGCAAAGGTTTTCCGTACTTACAATGCCTCCATCACACTGCAGAGAGAGCTGGACAGGCTGACAAATGATTCAACAACTGGTGATCATGCAGTAGAGAAATATCTGGTTGCGAACAAGCAGGTGGCGATTCTCTGCAATCATCAGCGCAGTGCTCCAAAGACACACGAAGAACAAATTTCACGCTTGCGCAACAAGATCGAGGAGTTAAATGCTGTTGTGGATGAACTGAGATCCGATTTGGTCCGTGCAGAGAAAGGGAAGCCTCAGGTGGGGAAGACGACGAAGAGAAATTTGGCGCCGGAAGCATTGAAGAAGAAGATAGACCAGACGAATGTGAAAATTGAGAGAACAGAGAAACAGATAGAGACGAAAGAGGATATGAAAAACGTGGCTTTGGGGACGTCGAAAACGAACTACCTTGACCCAAGGATATCAGTGGCATGGTGCAAACGGAATGAGGTTCCCATTGAAAAGATATTCACCAAGACTCATCTGCAGAAATTTGCTTGGGCCATGGATGTTCATCCAGACTTCTCTTTCTGAAGCTCTGCTAATTTTGACCTGATATACATGTAAAACAAAACTGAGACAACTGTGAAAGAAATTGTGAAACAAAACAAATGAACTAGTGACTTGTATTTAATAGTATTCTAATCCTAGATCCATTCTTTAGTAATAGTTATTACTAAAGAATAGTTATTATAACTTGTCATACTGATATCTTTACTATTCACATTATTTATTCTGTTCATAGATCATTTACTAATACTCCATATATATATATTATCAAAGTATATTATGAGAAATTGATCAATTCGTCTATTGAACTTAAATTTTGAAAATATGATTTTTAACTCAAAATTTACTAATAATATTTTGATGCTTATGTTGTCAAGTATGAAAGTCAAGTTCTTTCAACTAAGTAAGACCGGGAAGCAGAGGGATATACGTTGTAGCACCTAATGAGAGCAATACATGAAGAAAACCTTGTATTATAGAAGATGTTGATGATGTGTTAGATTTTTGGGCAGTATGGTTGAGCGAAAGGAAATATTTAGTGGGATTAGGGTGTTTTTATATGGACTGCAATTTTCAGGTCCGATCCGGTCTGGTTTGGTCTGAACTGGTCTGATCTAATAAATGTCCGGTCTCCGTGTATTTTATAACTGTTCAAGCTTGGTCTGGTCTAGGCTGGTCTGAGTGATCTGGTCTAGTCTGATCTGGTCTGGTCTGATGTGAGACTGTAACAACCAAGTAAAAATATATTTATTCATTAGAATATGAATCCGAAATATGAATATAGATTCTTTTAGTATTAGGCGGGAACTAGGGTTGTAAACAAATCGAATCGAATAATGTGATTTTGTATTTGTATTTGTTAAAAACTTTCGAATACGAATCCGAATTCAAATATGAAACGAATATTATTTTTTATTTGTATTTGTATTTGTTTAACAATACGAATAGTTAACGAATCATATACGAATATCGAATCGATTTGATCATAAGTTAAATATTAGTCAAATATCACTTTAAAATAATTTTTCCTATATTTCTTATGTTATAAATGCATGCTATGAATTAATATGTGTTTTAGAGTTTAATTTGTAACATTACATTTTTCCTTAAAATTTAATGGATCGATGCATTTTTAGGTTGTGCACAATATACTGAAGTGAATCAATTTTATATTTACCATACATAAATATTTTTCACAGTTTTTGAAATAAATTACTGAAGTGAATCAATTTTATATTTACTATACATAAATATTTTTCACAGTTTTTTAAATAAACACTAACACACACATATTAGAAATTATACATATAATGTGTGAAATAAATTTATAATTGAATATATTATATACTTTCGAATTTAAATCATAATTTGTGAATCCAAATCACGAATCAATATAAAATCATTTATTTCGTTTGCAACCCTTACTCCTTATGTTACTTCTGATGAATTACAAATTGGCTTGGAATTTGTATACCTAAATGTATATATTGGCTACACTTTAAGGTTATGACTAGCTTTTAAAGGTATTATAGTGTTATTACTATTATTAATATTATCACTAATATTAATCGAGTATATTTGATTAACATTCGAATCGAATATAGTGATATTTGTATTAGTATTTGATAACAATTCGAATCAAATTTAGTATTCTATTTGTATTTGAATTTTTCGAATACGAATCGTCTTATATGAATTTGAATCGCGAATCGAGTATAAATGATTTGATTTGTTTAACCCTAGGCGGAACTGTGGAAGACTTTAAAGTTAAGATGATATGTGGGCACAGGCAAAGGTTTATAAAAAATTACGTACTTCTTAAAGTTGATAGTTCACAAGCACTCCGAGACTTTAGATTATTAAAAAAACTTTTATTATATGCTTGGATATCGAGATAATAGAGTAGGAAGATAGCTAGTTTTAGTAATGAATATTCAGGCCCGGTCCTGACATTTTATGGGCCCGGGACAATACACATAAAGTAGGCCTTATGGAAAATGTCATTACCTATAAATTTTTCCAAAATTCTTAGTGTACATGAGTTGTACACAAATTAGACACAAAACCCCTAGTTGCCTGTGTACACAAACAATTCGTTTAAAAGGGGGCAGAACTTGATGTCAAATTGTCTGTGTACACATGCAATGTACGCATTTTGTGTACATCTTGTGTACATCAAGAATGGTCCTAAATTTTTTATATAAAAAAACTGTATGTCAAATTAAGTAGTACAATTGTTACTTGCAATATGGAATTTTGCATTGAATTAGTGAAAGACGTGAAAGTTATACACTTATACTGTATCGTTTATGGAGTAATGTTTTCATATTTCAAATCATGTTTTGACTAGAACAAAACAAATTTCAAGTTTCTAAATTCTAAATATTATAATTCAATCTTTCACTGAGGAAGCGCTCCAGCCCATCTGGTCGCCGACTCACTCTCCCTTACGGGAGGTCTAGGGTTCGAAATTCAATGGAGTGTTGTTGAATAACGAATTCAAAATATCAAAAAAATTAAACGTCTTATTTTACTTTAAATTATATAATGTATATATATATATATTTAAAATACATATGTATACTCCATTTATTTAATTGAGAAAATTATGGGCCCTAGGAGAAGAATGGGCCCTGGGCGCATGCCCCTTTGCCCATGGCCCAGGACCGGCCCTGTGAATATTTTAACCATTAAGATTAGGACTAGATGAATGGTGCAATAATTAAGAAAAATAGAATAATGTGGTCATGAGCGAAGTAAAGGTGCTCTTGATCGGGCCCGAACATCCCCGAATTTGAAAATGTTTTATTTTTAGTGTAAAAACTTACATGTAAAAATATATCTAAAAAAGTTATTTGTATTGATCCACCTCTATTTCTGCTCTTGCTTGAGTACGGAGGTATGTAGTTGATATTGAATTTACAAGGTGTGAGTACGGAAAAAATCATTTATAAACACACAAGTATTACTAAATACTTACTATAATACGAGATAAGTTTAGCGGGGTGGATGAAAAAAGGATAAGATAGCGGGATGGAGTAAGTATTATATGTATTATGAGGAGATAGACTGTTTTTTATCAATAATGCTTTGTGTACACGCCATTGTACACAACATTTTACACGTCGATCAAAAATATCTGTATATAGACAATTTGACCGGCGTTCTGTGAAGAAAACGGCTTTCACACAGACAAAAAATTTATCTCTACCACATACTATTTTTGTCTATGTGCGATTTTTTTTGTCTCTTCACAAAACACCGATCAAATTGTTTGTACACAGACAATTTAACGGACGTGTAAAATGACATGTACATTGTGTCGTATACAAATAATATTTTCTTTTTAGGGCATGTTTACATGATGGCCATCAATTACACTCAAATTGATTCACCATTGGTGGATGCAAGGTTATGCGCTCTTGTAGCAAAATTCAATAATAATGCATGCATTTATTAATCTACAAAAATGAAATATTATGATCTTTGCTTTCATACCTTGAAATTCTTTATTTCTTCCCTTCCCTATTTTGCATTCTCCTCTACCCGGCCGTACGTCAATTAATGAGCTCTTGCTTCTCTCCTGTTTCATCTAATTAAGGTGCATCCATGACCACTTCAATTCCCTCTTCTTTTTATGCCCAAGCATAATATGAAATACATATATGTTTCATCTATTTTGCATTATATTGTAAAGTTGTTATGAATGTGCGATGGCATATCATGCTTGTGAATGCAAAATGTCTCAGCACATTTGTAATAATTAATGTCAATAGAACTATTGAAAGTCTCTCATTTTGAAGAACCTATTCATTAAAATTGTTCAATAGTTTACTTGAATTTGATTAATTAAAATTCAAAAAATATTATTGGATGATCTATGTATGAGCTATGGTGGGCTGAAGTCTAGGGTAACTTTATTTTTCCCGAATTTTTAGTTTAAATTTATTCGTTTTTTTATATTTAGCTCATCCCACTAAAATTTAAGCCTAGTTTAGTTGCTTTTCAGCTCGAGACATCCCAAATTCTTGAATCCGGCCTTGAGAACAGTCCAATAATAAGGCAAAAATGAATAAGTTGCGAATATCCCCACATTTCAAAAAAATCCTTCTTGGTGTGGCATGATACTCGACGGTTGTATGATTTGCTAATGACGTTAAGAAAAACAATGCCAACCACGCATACATTTCTTTAAGTTCATATATTACTGTATTTGGCCGGTGAGGCTTAGATATATGATTTGTTCTTAATAATGCAGGTCGGTTTAATTTGAGATTGTGCAGGTTAATTTGGCACAATTAAAGCAAGAAAACATGGCAACAAGGGTGAAGGAGATTGGAGCAAAGGGAAAGGAGAAGAAAGGAATGACATCTCCATCAGCATCATCACATGCAACTCATCTTGATAATGTGTCCCAACATAAAAGAAGCACCACCACTTCACCAAAGTCAATCTCATCAAGTGCTGCTTCTGCAGCCCCAAGTTATTCAGAAACAAAATCTTCTGAAGCCAAGAAAAGAATGCAACCTTCTGTGATCCCCAAAAGGAAACCATCCTTGGACAAACCCCCATCACATCATCTTGACAGTCACCCCCCGAATCCGGCAGGAGATGATAAGAAGCCATATTTGGCCAGAAGAAGATCTTTCGACATGTCGCATTCGGCTTCCTCCCCTACCTCCCAAGGCCGCCCAACTCAAGGGAATAAGCCCTCTGTGCCAAGAGCAACAAAGTATGGCTTGGACAAGCCACAATCATCCCAAACCATGCCAAACAGTGGGGCCAAGGGAAAAGTGTTGAGATCAAGCTCATCAGTTGGCAAATCTTCTTCCATTACAACCCATCATCAAGTCAAGAGTCTTTATGGCCGAACAACGGCAACCAATCAGTTACCAAGCAATAAAACTCGAAAGCAGCTTGGCACCACCTTGTCCTCAAGGCCAAGAATTAACAAGAAGCAAGAGAGAATCACAAGCAATACTAATCAAGACTCATCATCTATTGCAAAAGATAATGTAGCAGAAGACACAGAGGTTTTTACCAAAGCTATACAACAAGAAAAGGACAATGTTCTTCTCACAGACGATGAGGAATTAGATGATCTGACTTCCTATGAAAATGGCTCCTTATTAGACTCAGAAGACAATTTTGACACGTTCGAGGAAGGAAATGATGACCCCGAAGAGATCACCAAGCTTGAAAGTATCCAAGAAAGCAAGGAAACTGCCCAAATAGAAGGAGATCCACATGAAGACGATGAGGAAAACAAAAGCACAACTACAACAGAAACACTTCCAGTCGCCATTGACACAAAGTTTGCTGATGATGATATTCCTATTGAAGAAAACAGTAATGAGAAGATCCTACAAGTTTGTGACAACATTGAAGAAAAGCAAGAAAAAGAAGAACAAACGATGAAGGAAATAGACGATCATCAGGATGATCAAGAGTTAGCTGAAGAAGTTAAGGAAACCAGTGAGAACAATAATAATGTCATTGATGCTCCTACTGAAACTACTCATGAGTTGTCGGAGGTGGTACGAGGAACCAGGAACGAGAATGTGGTGTCCAACGATGTGATTGAGGAGACTGCAAGCAAGCTTCGTGAGCAGAGGAAGAATAAGGTGAGGGCATTGGCTGGGGCCTTTGAGACTGTTATATCTTTGCAAGAACCCAAGTGATGGCATCTACATGTTAAGAAAACCCAGAAGAGCTTTTTTTATTTTTAATTACGAGGCGGCAATTGTCTAACAACTAATAAGGGGTTCTGATATGTCGTTCATATTCAGTTGAAGTGTAACATTTTTTACAAACATGATGAGATCAATGCAAACCAACAATATTTTTTCATTATAAGGGATGCACACACACATATACTCATGCCTGGTGCAATATCAAAATGTTAATTAACACAGCTATTTAATGTACATTTCTTCTGATCTATCAAAAAATATAATCTTCTTATTTCTGTAAGATATCATCATCATAATCAACATCCAGTAACACCCCCATAAGCCCATAATACCTTTAGATAACATTACGATGAATAAAATGTTGTTAATGCCAAATTAGAGACCAAGTTTATGTGTGTAGATAAACTTATATACACCGAAAAATATTTCATTTAGGGATAAAAATTTTGGACAGTCCCAGACTCCCAGTCCAATTCAGGCTCAGAACTGAAACTAAAACCCATCCATGCCTGAATTGAGTTATGACATGTTAGACCATCAGAGCTGAACATAAAACGCGTACAATTTCAATGTGATTCTCAGCATTTGAGATGTCCAACATTAAGACAGGCAGCTGGATGAAAAAAGCATGTGATCGTAAATGCATTTATAAAATTACTTTTGAGAAAACTATTATGTATAGTCTGAAAAGAACTAGTCTCAAACACAATAATCTCCGATGTTTGAATCAAATGAGCTTATGGACAAAAAATACTATATCCATCCGAGATTAAGTTTCCATACGCGATTCATTTAGTTAACCATCTTTTAATCTCACATTCTCACGTATTCAAATTGAGTTTTACGATTCAATAGAACTTAGTGTAAGTTTAAAATGTGCAAATTTTAATTAGTGATATTAATATGCGGGGTATATTTTAACGGAGAAGAGTGTCTTCCTCGATCTGTCATTTATGTCTTTCTGTGAGGTTGTCACGTGTAATGTCCATAAGTCCATTGTTAGATGGACTGATGTAGGTTTATAACTAGTACGGAGTAACAAGTAAAAGTGAGATTGGTTACCATAAAATCTGTAACAGACCTAATTAAAATCTGTAACATATATCAAAGTTGAAAGGGATGAAAACAAAACATCAAAAATATGTTCTAAATAAACTTCAAAAAATGTACAATAATATACTAAATACTAATAAGAACTACAGGAGGTATGGAAGCATGCATGTCAAAGCATTCTAGTCTAGCTTAGCCTAGTCTACAATAGAGTGCAAGACTAATAAAGTGGGCGATGAGAAAGGGGGTTACTCTACGATGAAATATTATTACTAAAGCGTGTTACAACTATTTTGGAGTACTACTACTACCACTACTCATCTGCTCATTCTCGTAATTAGGTATTTCAAGACACTCGGTTAGAAAGTCACACTTGACCTGCACCGCCCTAACATCATTACTCGGTCTTTCGGTGCTTGGAAATGCGCCTATTTGCATCTTTTCATGTTCTCCACCTCCAAGCAAACTGCATGTCAGATAGAGCAGAAATGATAACAAAAAGATACATATACAAAACAGGGGTGAGGTAAAGTGAGAGACAGGGCATGAAAAATATCATTACCTAACTTCCAAGGATGGTACGCCTTTCACTGCCATATTATTATTTGATGGTTTAGGATATAAAATCATGCAAGAGAGAGAAAGAGAGAGAGATTTAGATGCATGTAATATCTTAAGCAAATAAGAATGCAAATTGTCTGATGCTCTCGTGTCCTCGAATTAAGTTCATAGTTTGACTTCTGGTGTCCCCGATTTTCCAAATTTGCAAAAGATATGTTGGAGAAAGTGGGTAATTAATGATTTACTATTTATAGGGGCAAAATAGTCTTCTACTAAACAAATAATATCAGAAAAGAAAATGTCAACTTAATCGTAGGGAACCCCAAAAAGGAAAGTGGGAAATTAATTTACGGATGAGAGTTTATTACTGCATAATTTTGGTAAATTACTGCATATTACTGTATGAAGGTCAAATGTTTGAACTCAATGTACACTATATATATAAACAGCGAAATGATCAGTCCTGCCTGAGTGCCTGACGCTTTTAGTCGGAAAGGAACGACATAAACGGCTGATCATGCTTACCATTTGTTACAATCAACAATGGTGAGCACGATCAACGGTTCCTGTGATTCCTTCCTTCTTGAAGCTGACAAGATCATTTTCCTACACACATTGATTTGAACTGTCAACATTTTTTAGAAATTCATGTGCTTATTCATGCATGTAAAGGACCAACTTCCATCATTAGAATTTGGTCCACGTGTAGTATAGTAAAATGATATACAAACATAAAAATAAAAAAGAATTACCATCAACATTTTCTGATGTGAGAACAGGACCACTGTGGTGATGAGACTCGGAAGCAGAAGACACTCCAGCAACTTCAGCTCGTTCATTATCCTTTAAATAATATAAAACGGGAAATGAAAGTGACTGATGACATGTAATCTAATGGTGGTGGGGGTTAACATCAAATGGCCATGTAATAGCAAAATCAGTTCAGCGTGCATATATGGATCATATGAGAAAGATACTTGGGAAAAGGTGCAAATAGGCCCATGTACTAACCAAAAAAGGTCAAATAAGCCCTTATTTAGGAGGCTCTGTCCGGCCGTTGTCATTTGGGGTGGTTCCCGGTGGAATTTTTTGATGAAATTTTTTGAGCATCTTATTCATCAAGTCTAGTTTACTCATACCAAATTTCAGCTAAAATGTCAATCGGGAAGACATTCAAATAAATTCTTGAAAATAACTGCGCAGTTAGAAGCGCATTTATCTTCAAGAATTCATTTGAATGCCTTACCGATTGAAGTTTTAGCCTAAATTTGCTATGAGTAAACTAGACTTGATGAATAAGATGCTCAAAAAAATTCATCAAAAAATTTCACCGGGAACCACCCCAAATGGCGACGGCCGGACAGAGCCTCCTAAATAAGGACTTATTTGACCTTTTTTTGTTTGTACATGGGCCTATTTGCACCTTTTCCCAAGATACTTTAAAATATTTGGGTTGATAGATTACCTGTGCTTCAGATGGCTTAAATAGCACAGTTCTAGACTCTCCAGCAACTTGTCTGATCTCTAAAGCAAGAAGTGCAAAATGAGCTTCATGTCCAACATCAAGTGCAGACTCATTTTCATTTTCATTTTCATTTTCATTTACCCCAGTGCCGCAAAGGCTCCCACCGACGGTGGGGTAAGGGGGGGTCGGATGTACGCAGTCTTACCCCTGTACTAAAGCAGTCTTACCCCTGTTTAGTGAGCCATTTTGCTTTATTCCATCATATTCTCAAGCCAAAAAACAATGAATCTTTGGCTCCATTGCAAATGATGGAAAACATCAAGTGCAGGCTAAAAAATGAAAATCTAAAAGGTCAGAAAGAGATCCTAAAAGGTAAAGACTAACCAGATAATCCAATATCAGTAGCCAGTACTGCCATGTCACCCATAGTAGTCAGTTTTGAATCAATAAAAGCTTTCCGCTTCATTTTCTGTTCAGACAATAGTGGCAGATCAATTCTTTTGGCAGGGGGGGAGTGTAGCATGTCATTTGTTGCTTTTGAACGAACTCTTCGTATTTCCTCATGTATATTCCATGATCCAGATGCAAGAGCATTTTTTTTCTGTGATATAAAAAGGCCGTACATAACAGTAGAAAACAAATATTCCTTGAACTATATAATATACATAGCATAACATATAATACTCTAATTTTTTGGAACAATTAAACACAAAAATTATATATTTGGAACAAAGATACCCTTGTATATAATTAAATACAAAATTATATATGTAGAGAACATGCATACCCCTCAACCATTGGACATAATCACATGAAGGCACATGATGTTCTCAAGTGTATATTTCTTCCACTTTTACAATGTTTGTATTTTTAATTGCCATAAGAAAATTGAAGCTAAGGGTATACTTGTTCTCCGGCATATAACTCAGAGGCATACATCCACTTCAACATATATGCATATTTATATATTTATATATATATTTATTTAATTATATTTATATATATAGGGGAGGCTTGGATGTTCTCATGTTAGCCAACCCCAAAATCTTTTGGGATTAAGGCTTGGATGTTGATGTTGTGGTCATTGATATACTCCGTATATATAGGGGAGGGTTTTAGTGAGAACCCCTCCTAAAATAAGAACTCTTTAAAATGAGAACTTTCTAATCTCTACCTTTTATTTAGTGCAATCATTGGTTAAGATTGACATGGGGTCACATTCATAATTACCCTAAATTCAAATGGGGCTTTTTTTGCAAAAAATCCCGAATAATTACAAAAATGCCACCTTGTCATTATTGATGTTTGATTGTAAAATTGAATGATGGAGATTAGAAGTTCTCATTTTAAAAAAGGTTCCCATTATAAGAAGGGTTCTCACTAGAACCCTCCCCACACACATATATTTAATTTTTATTTTCCTTGCTCCTCCACTGAACCAAACATGACATATTTTCAAACTTTTCCATTTTCCTTCCCTCCCCTCTCTATTTCCACCCTTACTTTAAACAAACAATAAGTGAATTTTTAACAAAAAAGATTTCCAATGAAAAATGAGGCATTGAATAGATGTCCTTTATAGGTGACAAATTTTGCTTACTATCATATGTTGAAGGGCAATTAGCACCAAAACATTCAAGCACCTTTCAATATTACGCATGATTTCATGATCACATATTTGCAAGACACCTTTCTATTTTTTTTTAAAAAAATGTGAACATGCAATATCCAAAGATAATAAAACAGCTCTTAGCATACCCGTGAAGAGGATGTAGAATCAAACCCATCAGGAAAAGGAGTTCCCTTGTCGAAAAGCTTCGACTTCATTGATGGTGTTCTTGTTTCATGCTCGGCAGAAGGAGATGCCCATGGAGGACGAGCTTTCATATATGACTTTGCCACATATATAGGAGAGCCATCTAGATTTTCCATCTGAAATAGATTTTAACATGTACGAAGGACCCTTATAAATAAAACCGTTGTAATAAAGAATCCTACATTGTGCAATTCGTATTATCTTAATGCTTCTAGAAGTATAACGAACTGGAAATTGCCCGAAGCATTAAACTGCAGAAGAGATATAATAAATTCAGTTATGTTTTAGGAATGCAGAAAAAGGCATATAAGCTTTTGCAATGTGATTCCTATAATAGGAAAGGCTCCAAATTCTATTTAACATTTTATATACCAAGCTGACTGAACTAGCAGAATACTGTTTGAAAAGGTCATTGGAACAAAATAGTGTAGTCAAAGAAAGCACAAGGCACACAGTTCATCCCTGTGCACCGACAACAATGCCCATGACTGACACTTCTAAATCACTGAGCCTCTCAGTCTTGTCTGTAGTCTGTACACATTGGGAAATACCTAAGAAACTGCTACTACAGAGATTTCATGGAACAGAAACCTAAAGCACGCTCGAACTTCCAGAGCTATCCACCATTTCATCAATGTGTTTGATATAAACATTAAAATTTATATAATGACTCAAACAGCGAAAAAGCATCTACCATAGAATCCAATATTAATTAAGGCCCCCCGTCCTGAGTTGTTTTCAAATTTCATTTTGCAGTTCTATTTTTAAACTAAAAAACAGATTCTGGAAACTAGAAAATATGATTTTCAATTTTCAAAATTTACATGGCTCCATGGGGGTACAAATAAGAGAAACCCCCACTGCACATCGGTACCTTAACATATGCACGTGGAGAACAAGTACAAAAATGCAACAGCCAACAAGCCTCCTGATCGAAATTGTACACTATCGATAACTTCTCTGCATTAGTTTTCTTTGACATGTTGGCACAAGAACTTCGTCTCTTTCAAAAGATCTCCAGTCTCATTTTATAGTGCAAACACTTGCACTTTTTGACTGGTTCACTCATTCCTAAAAGAATGAGTAGATTTGGTTTTTACACAATGTATCTGATGTAACTTCTAAAATCAGAAAAAGTATAACTGGCCACTCGCAACCACTTCAAATGGAACATAAGGATTTTGAGGAAAACAGAAAGAATTATAAAACCCATAAGCAAGAAACCCAGCTTGAGAGCGTTTGTTTTACTCTTTGTCAAACCAATACCATCACTCATAAGTCAAACAATGTGAGGTCATCTTTAATAGCAAAGTAGCACCACAGCAGATCAATTTAACTAAAAGAGATCTTTGTAAGGTTCAAACTTAGAGGCGGTCATTTCCGGAGAAGGTGTTCCATATGGAAGGCGGCCAATCCGACATTTGAGCATTGCCCAGAATATGGAAGTCTGCCAATCCCACGCACAATGGGCACGGTTTGTTGGCAAAGATAAGAGCTGAACCGTAATAGGAAAGAACGGTCCAATACTATTGCAACTCATAATTATAACAGACTTAAAGTAATACAGACAAATAGTGTACGGGGAAAAAGGGAAGCCCGGTACACATTTGCAAAGATCCGAGGAAGGGTCCCACCATAAGGGTGCATAGGAGGCAAGCCTTCCCTTGTCATTTTGGAAAGAAGCTACACCCAAGACTTGAACCCGAGACCTCTTGGTCACGCAGCAACAACGTAACCTATGCACCAAGGCTCCCCTTCCAAGTAATATAAAGAAATAACAAATGCTTTTATTTCCGCTTGAGGGTTAGGCTGCTTCTTGCGACAGATGTAGATATGACTCACAAATGGGTCCGCAATAAGTTGTGATAGATGTCATTCTAAAAAATCGGGGGGGGGGGGGGGGGGAGGGGGGGGGGTAAGTGCTTACATTTTCAGTTATAAAAGATATTGGCTGATCAACAAGGCATGGACCTAAGTGCAAATCTTCTTTCTTGTTTTTTAACCATTCTCGTGCTTCAATAATAGCTTGACTGCAAGCATTCAAGGTACCTGTAACCATAATATAGTACCTCGTTAAAATCGATAACTTTCACAAAATGAGTTGATACAAATGCAGTAACATAAACGCAGCACCATTACCGGTGGTTCCATCCGGTATTGCATCTTGGAGGCCATAATAGAGTGTTGGCGAATCCACAGCTCTGGAGTTGATCAAGTTTATAAACCTCTCACACTCTGCCCTGGTAAATATGATAACAAACAAGATACGTCAGAAAGAGATGCAAGTCCATTATGCAGCTGAAATATATTGGTGGAAAACCAACACATAACTACTAATAAAGAACACATTCATATGGGATAGACATATTTCTGCAACATAATCTCAAAAGGGGTGTGCAAATTTTAAAAATCCAAAAACTAACATAAAGAAAATTGATATCAAGTAATGAAGGAAGAACTAAAATGAGGCACTCTATTCTGCTTTTAATATTGTATTGAGTTTTCTTTACTCTTGTGCTGCGCGATATTCACTTAGCTACACTTTGATGCAGTGTTGCATTGAAATAATTAATTCTCAATAAATGATACTTCCCCCCATCCTGAAATAATCTTCTTGTTTTGACTTGGCACGCCTATAAAGAAGTACAGTGAAAATGGAAGTGTGTGGTTAAGATTCAGGTTGAACTAAGGCAATAAGGGAAACATGAAATTTATTTTGTGACCGATCAAAAAGGAAATCAACAAGATTATTTTAGGAAAGATGGAGCAATCAATTACATCTTATTATTTTAGGGGCATATCATGGACATTTTAAAATACACTTAAACTTACCTTTTTTAGGCTTTAGAATAAAAAATCTTTAACAGTATATATTTAATAGGAAAAAAAATGAACAGCGTTTCCATGTATAAGATGCATCTAGTAAACTAGATGCAAAAGGCCGGCAAAGCTACCCATGTTGGCACTACCACACTACTCAGAAGGAATGACAGCTGAATAGTGTTTCCATCTATAAGGTGTATCTAGTAAACTAGATCAAAACTCGACCAATTTATTGTCCTTAGTTAAAAAATTTACATGAACCCCTTTATTGGGTCTTACTTTTCTGGTTTCCCCTAGGACATGGAATCCTTTTACCATATCCCCCTACACCCACATATGATCTAGAAAGCAGAATTACACAGATTTTTAGATTTCTGACCAGCAAAGCCTTTCCCATGGCTGATTTTTCCATGAAATCCACTCTTCACTTAATTTCAAGAGCTAAGCTACACTGTTCACATTTACAAATATTTTACAATCTCTAGATTATACCTAGAGAAAATCTAAATTCACTTTATGTGTCTAAGCCACAGAAAGGTGCATAACTGCATGCTCCAATACCAAGAAATCTGCAACAGAAAATTATTTGAAAAAACAGCGTGTGCTTGTTAATTTCCGGTAAGTGTTGCGTGTGAGTAAATTTTGTCTTCAAAACATTTCTCATATGATAGAACTCAGCATTTTAGCACAACTATTCAATAAATCCAACTTTCAGAACTAAAGCTACAGTTACTCAGTGAGATCTCATCACTTTATAGATCATATTAACATTTTTTAATCAAAGAAGATACCATGTATTTTACTAGAGTTGCCCTTTTTGGTCAGCAGTGTTACAAATCACATTAATTAATCCAATCAAACATAGAAACATGAGATTTCATGAAAACTGTTTGACAAACTTGAACAGTCCATATGAACCATGAACCATCAATATAAAATATTAAAAAAGACAAGCTATCGAATAGCATATTACCTCGAAAAAGTTTCCCTCATAAGTAGCTGTTCGATTAAACATTTGCTCTTGCTCATTCCTTCACTATGTTCACCATCTGTTGCAGCATAGTCTGTCTTTTTTGATGAAGTCCAAGTATTCATTAATAGTTTTTAATAAAGTTAATATTTATAAATTATTAATAATGATAAGGAGCGTGTATAACTAAAACTAGAAATAAAAGAATACCACCAATGCTGTATCAGTTTTCAAGATACAATGATGTTCATTGTTCTTATGCAACACTGATTCAAATAAGCATCAGTTGTCTGGCACAGCTTTTCTGCTTTTTTCTAATTTTTATTACATAGTCACGTATAGCACTTTTAGTCATCACTATCATTAACATATGAAATACTGAAACAGTAAACATAGGTTTTCCTAGATAAGTCTAATTACTCCCAAATTCAGTTCATCAACATGCCACATTTAGATGTTGAAACTAATTGAATGGTGGCCCAAGCGGCAAGCACTAGTGAAAAGCCACTGGTGAGGCACAACAACAACAAAATGAACCAAAAAGCAGATAAAAATGTAATCTGTTAGTTGTACTAAAATCAAATGTATGGAACTGCCATAATGTCATTGAGGCACACATAGTAGAGAAGGTAGAAATCCTTCCATCTCTTGGTTCGTACACCACCGAATTATAAATTTAGTGTCCTTATCTTATGCACTCATGCAGATTTTGTTTATAGATCTCTACTTTTCAATTTTGGACAAGATTTTAATAAGTCGGGTGTCTAGGCATATTTTCCATCAATTTAAGCCATACATGAAAGTATCTTCAGGTATATATAATTATTTAACCCATTAGGAACGATTTCACTACTGACCTGCCACCTGAAATAATTATTTATTAAAAATAATCTTCAATAGTAATTTTATACATGCTGAGTTGCTGACGTTTTATGCTTGCTTGCAATGTTCAAGGAAAGGATTGGTAACTGATTTAGAAAAATAATGTCAAAAATGAAATATTAATGATACCCCTCTGCCCCATTATACACTTCCCACTAGGTTTTGCTGTTTTGGCACATAATAAGAGAATTATAAATTGTGTGGTAAATTTATTTTGAATCAACCCAAAAAGGAAAGTGAAAAGTTTATTTTGGGGCAGGGTAGTACTCCAAACGAATTTTATAAGTATATAAATATAAACGAAACTCTTTATATATTACAAATGGCATATAAATATATTTTCAAATTGGAAACAAAAAAACGAGGTAACTGACCTATTTTTAGTGTAGATCTAAAACTTAATGAAACTGTGATAGTTTTAGGGCCAAATTGACATTTTTTGTCATTTCTGAACTATGAGGGTATACGGCGCTGTCCCTAGGGAGATATTGAGGCCCAAGAAGAGACGCACTAAAATCTTATACTACCTCCGTCCCATATGTAAGATATACTTGGGTTTGGCTCAGGTTTTAAGAAAATAAAGGAGAAAGTTGTTTTACAATTCTAACCTCCAAAAAGTAAGAAAAAGGATGGGTCCACAAAAAAAGTAAAAAGTGAAATGATAGATAAAAGAATTATTTAATTTAGGAAAGCACTCATATGTTTGGGAAAATCAAAAAAGGAAAGTGTAGCTTACAAAATGGGACAGAGGGGGAATTAGTTTGTCTGTTTTTGCAAACAATACTAAAATCATTTTACTTTATAATTTGAGGTAAAAAAAGGTTTAAGATGGACTCAATCAATTGTTAATGGATAAAGAGTAATGCATGCTTCGACAGATATATCTAATCACACCAACAAGTCATTTTAAATCATGTTCTTCAACGAAAATATAACAAAATTATAAATATTTCAAATGTTGAATATAAGAAGAAGAAAGATTTTTGGGAAAATGGAAACTAATAATCCAACCTTTTAGCGGTCTTCTTACAATAGTCCCACCTTTTGATTATTGATGAATAATCCAACCTTTGCACCTCATCTTCATTCACTGGTCCCTGACCGGTTGATGACCTACTATTCCAAGTTATTTTCTTATCTTTGCAAACCATTATACCATAAATCTCACCTTTCACAAAGATAATATTTTGCAAAGATAAGAAAATAACTTGGAATAGCAGGTCATCAACCGGTCAGGGACCAGTGAATGAAGATGAGGTGCAAAGGTTGGATTATTCATGAATAATCAAAAGGTGGGACTATTGTAAGAAGACCGCTAAAAGGTTGGATTATTAGTTTCCATTTTCCCAAGATTTTTCAACTTTTCCAAAACTGAGGTGGGATGAGTGGCTTACAAAATTTCCTAATTATTAATTATTAATATGTCCTATAAGAACTCTTAATATGCACCGTACAAATTATTGACTCAAAATATCAACTAAAATTCACCAAGTTGTGGATTTGTTTTATGAATGCATAATACTTAAAGAGATGGAAATTAAAAAACAAGTACAATAATATGAATCATAGTTGTAAGGAGTAATCTAAGTTGTTAAATCGCTACTCGATGGCAACTCAGTCAAGGATCGAGTAGAGACTAGGATCTATTACTCGGGATTACTTGGGATTACTCGGTGATTACTCAGTCATATACTAAGTAAATTTTAAAAACATAAATGCTCCAAAAATCTAGTAATATATTAGTCTTATAGTTCTTAAATATGAATAACATAATAATAATCCTTATAATGAATGAGCTACAAATCACAACAATAAAAAACATTCTAACTTCCAAGAAAATTAATCACCTAATATTACATAATTCTGAAATTTTGTCTAAAACTAATCTTCATTGTGTTCAAGGTCATTGTTTTTTTCTTCATCCTCCACACCACCACATCTAGAATCACTTTGTAATCTTATTTTTTCAATTTTAAGATACCTGCATATTCATAATTAAATTCCATAACATCCCAATTTAGTTTAACCTTTTCATGTTAAACTCCAAAAAACAAAAAAAAATGCTGGCAGCCAAATAACTCGGCGAGTCAACCTTGTCACTAAGTAGAGAAGATCACCGAGTACTAGGTGAGTTACTCAGACAAATGTAACCGTGCGAGTCAGAGTACAAATCAGCAAGGCCATGCCCTGAGTCAGTGGCGGATCCAGAAATAATATGTATTGGGGGCACAATTTCAAAGAAGTTAATTTTACGATAAAACTATAGTTGATCTAATCTGAACTCTATTAATAATGTTTTATTATATCATGTTACAATAAAATGTTTTATTTCGTCAAATACGTAATTTTTTATTCTATACGTTGAATTGTATAATAATCCAAATAAGTAAGGTTGGAGTTATTTTTTTTATTATATCGGCTAAAGTTATTATAGAAGACCATTTAGTCACTTTTCATATAATTTTTTCTTTATTTTATTTGTAAACTATATTATTAATATAATTTTTTCATAATTCAACAGATTTAGTCAATTCAGCTACTTCTACTCGAACATCATTAATTTCAGTAGAATCAGTCGATTCGGCTAGTTTCGGTGTTATCAAACGGCCAAACAGGTCTAGATTTAATGAGATTAATATTGACTTGTTTAATTAAACTTAGAAAATATAATTTAGTAAAACAAAATTAGTTGATAATATGCTCGCACCATAATTTTTATGACTGATCACAATTAATGGCTAATGGAGTATATAAAAACACTAGACTAAGGATGTTTTCTTTTGGACTGTTTTTAGTCCCAGACCAGACCAGACTTAAACATGCCAGACCAGACCAGACCGGACCAGGCTTGGACAGTTATAAGATACACAAAGACCAAACGTTTACCAAACCAGACCAGACCAGACCAGACCAGGTTTAAACAGACCAGACCAGACCAGACCAGACCAAACTAGCAAATTTCAGTCCAAAAGAAAACATCCTAAATAGTCAGCCATATTCAAGGAAATTAGTTACAAAATTCGAACCCGTTTTTTATTGTTTGCTATCATATTTTATATTTACGATTTTGAACACTGACTAAATCGTTGATAGAGTCAAATTTTATTTGATGAATTGTTGACATTTTACTCATAATTAAAATCACGTCTAATTGAGTAATTCATGATATATATATATATATATATATATATATATATATATCAATTTACTTCCTCATAATTTATATTTAGTTCATTTAACCATTATAGTTCAAATAAATAAGTAGAACTATACGTAAATATCAACCTGATCCATCTTGTATAAAAAACTTTATTATTGGGGGCAACATAAAATATTTAATGGGGGCAAAATCCAACTTTACTACAAACAAAATGTTTTTAGTATTTATATTTAGCTTGTTAGTTAATTTTTATTGGGGGCATGTGCCCCCATTGTCAATTTGTCATACACTTGCATCCGCCCCTGCCCTGAGTAGCAACTAGCAAGTACTCGGCGAGTACTAGGATAGATAACATGGAGAGTAATTGTAATGCAATAAGTTCATACTATTTTAATTTTAGATTTTTATAAATTTAAGATACTGTCTCATAACAACAGATTTGCCTGTTGTGCTTAATTCAGTGATATTGTGGTTTAAATCTTAAAAGAACCAAAAGTTATCAAAAATCATTTGTGGTGTTAAATAGTTTAGGGTCACTTACCTTTGGCCACCCCTAACTCCCTAAGTGTATAAATCAATGAATTAAGGTCCTAATACTTCTAAAGTTTATTACTTAAATTTCATCCTAATATCAATCCATGAACAATTGAACACTGTAAAACTTCTAATGCTCCTCCACAAGTTAGAGCATGCCCACATGCATACAAAATGATAAAACTTGTGCACCCAACTTGCATAGAATGATAGAAGTTATCTACATAAATGAAATATTTACATGCATACAAAAATCTCATCTGTGGAGTCCTCCTAACTACTTCTTCAATTTGTGGTGGTATTGAGGATTCAAATATAATTTGTGAAGGGATAAGGCACCTTGAACCAACATTACCTATGAACTCTAAATGAATAAGTTGATGGTGTTTATAATCAAGAACTTTCCTAATGTATCAGCATTAAATTGTTGCAGTTTACCTCTTTCAATAATTCGACGTCTTTATCATGATCATTGTCATCTTTGGTGTCATCCTCTGCAAGAGGATTGAAGTAGTGTCAATTAGTTTGCAACTTTGCACAAAGCAGAACAGGTCACATTGCCTTCTAGGTTTGTACAGATAAGTGCATGTTTTGTATAGATACTAGAAAAGGGGGTTATGCCGACGCAATTGATTACATTTTTCCATCATATTTCAAAGATAAAATAAATTCAACTGACATGAGCGAGTATTAGCAAAAAGAATAATGACGCACCTTCTATGCTATTGCTGTCAGGGTGTGTACAGGCCGAAGATGAAGAACAAGAAGAAGAGTCTGAATCGAAGACGGAAGACAGCAACTTTGCTGCACCGGAGACAATAGTACGAGTGGCCGGAAACACGACACCGGTGAGCCAATTGGGGCTTTGCTGTGCTGGAGGCGGAGGTGGACGGTCGTATGGGGTGAATGTTGAGAATTTCCTGTGCCTTTTATTAACTATTTTTCCGCCGGATCGAGCACCGGCATAAGCATTCGTCGTCGACATAGGGGAACGGACGCGAGTGTGTCGTCAGGCTCTCAGCCGTTTGGGTGCTCCCATCCCTCGTGTCGTGAATTGATGCCCCCTTCTGGTGTTCTACAAAAAGTGGGGAAATTTTGAAAAAAATATGGTATTTCAATCATTTGGAATGAATATAAAGATTCATTATTTTTTTTTAGGGAAAAATGTCAGATAGGGCCTCCTACTATAAGAAAAATGTCAATTAAGGTCACCAAGGCAAAAATCGTCCAATTAAAGCCATAAACGAAATAAAATGGGGCAAATGGCTGTTTTATCCGGTCAATGACCGGCTTCCATCTTAAGTGCTTAGTTGGCATCCAACGTGGCTTTTTTGTCTAAGTTCAGTACATCCAAAGACATGGTTATTTTACTGTATACTAATTATTTATAATCGTTAGCTTCCAACTCTAGGGTTTATAATCATCGCACATGAGAAGAGAATGAAAGGAGTATCAAACGGAGAGAAGGGAGTCTAACAGAGAAACGGAGAGTATCAAACAAAGGAAGTCCGCACATGGTCTACGCCTCCTTCGCTCGCACGCACGCCGTTGTCTTCTTCCTCATAAAGGTTAGTATAGCTTGCACTATGTTTTGTAAACGGTGTTTTTTCCTTCGCTTTTACATTTTTACAGAGATAAATTTCACTACAAATAAAAATAACCATTTCATTGACCAACAGGATGTTTGACAAAGTTGAACTTATTATACACCATGGAGGGAATTTCATAAACAGCCCTGATTGTGTGTACAAGGGTGGGGCAGTAGATACCATAGCAATTGATCCAGATTTAATTTCATACCCACATTTGTTGAAGTCTCTGAAAGCTGGGAGCTATGGGAATATCAACGGCCTTTACTTTAAGAAATGTGATGAACCTATGCAAAATTTACACGAGCTTTTCAATGATGAATCCACCTTGGACTTAATTCGTATGACTACATGTTATGGAAGATGTGACATATTTGTTGAGCACAGGCTGGATGAAGTTGAGTTAATTGATGTTCTGCCATTACCCGAACCACCTACTGAAAAAGCACAAAGTGAGAGGGTCATTGGGGCTGAAAATGAAGAGAATGATGGAGAAGAAGTTCTGGGAGCTGAAGAACTTTTCTCTGTTCAGCTGGATGCTGAAGAGGATGTGGGTGGTGAAGATACTGTCTCTGCTGAAATGGAAGATGAAATGGATGCTGAAAATGAAACCGACAATGTTCTGGGTGGTGAAGGATCCGACAATGAAGACACTTATAAGAAAAAAAGACCCTATAGGGAGACAAAACAGTACGCTGCCAGTGATTCAGATCATACCAGCATGGAATATGATTCAGATGACCCGTCTAGCTTACTGTCTGATCATGACTCAGAAGATGGAGTTGTGAAATCAAAAAGGAAGAAGCCCAGGTATGCATCTTATAACCCTGATTCAGACCCTCCAAACATTGAGTTGTGTATGCTATTTGAGAATGGAAGACAGTTCAAGAATGCCATGATAAGATATGCTATTCATGAGAAAAAAGATTTAAGGTTTGTCAGAAATGATCCCGAAAGAGTGCGTTTTAAGTGTGCCCCAAATTGCCCATTTAGGTGTACTGCTAGTTGGGAAAAAAGTCTTAGATGTTATCAAGTCAAGGTTTTGAATACCACTCATGTCTGTAATACGAAGTTTAAGTTGAGGCTTGTTAGCCAGAAATGGATTGAAGAGACTTATGAAGATAAAGTGCTTCAAAATCCTTGTTTAGGTGCTGTTGAATTAAAAGGTCTTATAAAATCAGAATATAAGGTCAATGTTTCTCTTAGTATGGTGGCTAGAGCAATAAGGGGAATACAAGAAAAAACTAAGACTGCTTTCAAGGATCAGTTTAAGAGAATCCGGAATTATGCAGAGGAATGTTTGAAGTCAATTCCTGACAGTACGGTTGTGATTAAAACAGTAAGAGTTGTTCCAGATGGGCCTTCTATTTTTCAGAGGATTTACTTCTGCTTCGGAGCTATGAAAAAAGGATTTTTAGAAGGGTGTAGAAAAATGATTGGGGTAGATGGCTGCTTCTTGAAAGGTCAATTAAAGGGGGAAATCTTGACAGCCGTTGGCAGGGATGCCAACAATCAGATGTACCCAATTGCTTGGGCTGTCGTTGAAATTGAGAATAACTCATCGTGGAGATGGTTCCTGCAACTACTAAAGGATGACTTGAATATTGATAGGACTGATTTGTGGACCATTATAAGTGACCAACAGAAGGTTAGAAGCCTATATATATCTCATCTCATGTTTCATTCTCAACAAAAATTGTTTATTTTTATAACCATTTATTGATTTGTTGGTATTCATTTGCAGGGTCTTTCAAATGTCATAGACGAGGTACTTACTGGCATTGAGCACAGAAATTGTGCTAGGCATATACATGCCAATTGGAGCAAAAATCACAGAGGCCTTATGCTTAAAAGACTGTTTTGGCAGATAGCAAAGTCACCATCTCATGAAGAACTCCAAAGAAATATTCAAGAGATGGAGAAAGTAGATTCTGAAGCTGCTCTTGAATTGCAGAAATATCCCATGCATTTGTGGTGCAAGGCATTTTTTAGACCCTCAGTCAAGTGTGATTCAGTTGAAAACAATCTCTGTGAAGCGTTCAACAGTACCTTAGTCAAATGCAGAGCAAAACCCCTAATTCCAATGCTGGAAGATATCAGAGTGGGGATGATGAAGCGAATTGCAAGGAAGAAAAAGGCTGTTGAAAGGTGGTCAGGTATGAATGACTAGGGGTTAATTAATTACTTTTGTGAACATATACTCTTGTACCGACCTAGACACTTGTCAGTCTAAGCTTTTCATAATGAATTATATATGGCAGGTCAGTTTGGGTCCATAATCAAGAAGAAACTGAACAAGAATATCATGGCCAGTTCCGGTTGGCATGTGGATTACAATGGAGATGATGGGTATGAGATAAAGAAGGGAAGACACCAATTCAAAGTCAGGCTTGAAGGGAAATCATGCTCATGTAGAAGGTGGGATCTTTCTGGGATTCCTTGCGCACATGCGATTTGTGCCATCCTTGATCATGGAAAGAATCCGGAAGAATATGTTGACGATTGCTACTCTAAACAAATGTATGAGAGGACATATGAACATACTCTACAACCCATCAACGGTGAACTTTTCTGGCCCACATCCCAACATGAAGAAATACATGCTCCTCTACCCAAGAAAATGACCGGGAGGCCAAAAAAAAAAAGAGTGCGCGAGGAGACTGAGGCGCCATCAGGAACAACAATGTCCAGAAAAGGTAGAATTATGACTTGCTCAAACTGTAAGGAGCCTGGACATAACCGACTCTGTTGTCCAATAAAGCATACACCTGGCACTACCATCCCCACTGAAAGAGGAAGAGGAAGAGGGAGGGGAAGGGGGAGGGGAGGTAAAAGCAGAAACTGTAATTCTACACCTACTCGGAGTGTAAATGAAGTTGGTAGGGGGAGAGGGAGAAGTAAGGGAAGTGGAAAGAGGCCAGTTCGAGTGCGTGAATCTGGATTTGGTATATACACTGATCCAGAAAGTGGAGCCACAATTTTGAACGTAAGCAAATTCAAGTTAATAAAGTGATTTCAGTTTGATTTAAGTTAATAAAGTGGTTTCACTATTTAGTCCATTTTTATTTACTTTTAGTGTAAATATAGTGGCTTGAGTTTAAAGTTAATAAACTGGTTTGAGTGTATAGTTGATAATGTGGCTTGAGTTTGTACTTAACAAAGTGGCTTCAGTTTGTAGCTAACTAATTGGCTTTACTTTGTAGTTAAAAAACTAGTTTCAGTTTGTAGTTAATAATAAAGTAATTTCAGTTTATAGTAAATATAGTAGTTGACATAAAGTATTTCTCTTAATGTAGTTAGGTAGGTAGTTGAAGTTGTTAAGATGAGTCTTATGGTAATACAGTGCAGTAAACTAATAACTTGTCTACCAATTCATATGGTAATACAATTGGTTTCAGCTGAGCCCTGTGATAAATGTGGATGTATTCGAGTCCTGTGATAATAGTGCTTTCAGTTTTTTGTCCATTTTTATTATGTTAATAAAGTTGTTTCAGTTTGAATTTAGTTAATAAAGTGGTTTCATGTTTAGTCCATTTTTATTCACTTTTATAGTTAATATAGTGGCTTTAGTTTATAGTTAAAGTCCTGTGATTAAAGTGTATAGTTAATTACGTGGCTTGCGTTTATAGTTAATAAAGTGGCTTGAGTATGTAGTTAATAATAAGTGCTTTCAGTTTATACTTAATAAAGTAGTTGAAATAAAGTATTTCTCTAAAGTATTCAATGTAAACATTTGTTTCAGTTTGACATTTATAAACTAATTTGGATTATTTTTGTGTGGCCTATGCAGCGTGGAGAAGCAGTGGTTTATGAAGGAACGGGTTGAAGCCATCTTCACCAGTTGAAAAGGAATTGAAGCAAGTTTTTGGGATGACATTGCATGCTGAATGTGGACATATTTTTTGCAGCATAAAAATACATTTGTCCGTGTTTTGTTTAAATTGTAACATGTAGCATGTGATGGTCATGTTTTTTTGTCAAGTTGGATTAATTCCAAACAATATTATGGTTTTGGGGATGGGTTTACTGGTGTAAAATACTACATTGCCCATGTTGTTTGTGAATCAAAACAATATTGCATTGCTAAATCAGTTTGTAAACGTCCCTTAATGGCTCTTACACTGACTGACTGACATTTAAAATGAACCTTTTCTATTATTAATTTCAGGGTAATCCATTACTCTTACACTTTAAATTACTGAAAAATATGTAATATTGTTTTATAATATGGGAAAAAAGAAAAGTAATATTTCGTATATTCTTACTACCCATCACTTTGACTTTGGAAAATACAGGCTAAGCTAAGGATAAATTGTTGAGGGAATACATGTGGTGCTGGGATGTTACAGTCTGAATCAAGTTCAAGTTCCTGGGAAAAGCCCTGAATGGGAATGTCCATTAACTATTGCAGTCTATTAAAAACATCCTTTTGTACCCCTTGAGTGTTTTAGTTATCATGTTAAGCCAACCAGGGAATTTTGGCAGACAGTGTTGTAAACAATATTATGTGCT